CATCAAGCTTCCTACAAATGACTCAAGTTTATCTTCTTTATGGTTGAATAATGCTCCATTGTGTACTTATACCACATTTTCTTTATCAATTTATCTGTTGATTGATGATTTAATTATTGTGAATTGCACTGCTGTAAACATGAGTATGCATGTATCATTGTAGTACAATGTCTTTAACTCTTTCACCCCTGGCCTAATCCATACTGTGTGATGAAAAACTGAGCTAGATGTCATCAGGAGTTAGAACAGTAGGACATCATTCATATGTTTTGACAACAATTCAACAGGACTCAGTTCCTGGAGATTTCTATCACCTGATAGAATTTTGTACTGGAATTAACTATTAAATTATGCATATTTCAGTATTATTTAAACCAAATATGACTGAATTTTTAAAAAGTAAAAAGAACTCTTTTGTCCTATGTACCTAATGATAATATGAATATTTTCATGTAAAAAATTAAATCTTTTCCTTCAGTCTTTGAAAGTTCTTTAAACATATGGCGTTATTTTATTGAACTATGAGTAGCAATGTATTTTAGTCTTTTCATGTTAATAATCAACTATTTAAGAATAACATTTGATATTACATTCTTTTTCCTGTTCCCTCAATCCCAACTGCATCATTATTTTGATTCTTAAGATAGGTAAGTTGTTCCTAGAAGTCTATCTATATGATCGATACAGTCTATTTCTACTTTTAATCTATGTACTATTATTCTATTTTCTTAATAGCTAAGAATTAATAATAAGTGTTAATATGTAGAAGATAACAAAATCTAGATAATCTGTACTTTATAATTCAGCATTTCCACTCCTAAATATATAGCTGTCTGAGGTCTTGTGTTAAAAAAAGCCATGTATATGTGTGTCAGTATATATAATTGCATATATTTGCATATACATTGCAATATGAATCCAATAAATCTAATAATCTTTGTATTAGCCTAAACTAGTAATAGTTGGATTTGTTCATTACCATAGCATATTTAAAAGGAAAAAATAACTAGATAATCTCAATGGCAGATTCAGATTTCAGAAATAAAAAGTAAGTGACCATTAAAAGTAAAAAGAAATGATCCAACTGAGGAACAGACAGAAATACGATGGCAATTAGAAATGAGCAGAGAGGCAACAATTTCTGGCCTTATAGAAACTTGTCTAAAATCTGAACAATTTGAGTAATATAAGGAAAGGAGCAAAGGGGAAAAGAATATGTCAACAAGACAGCAGAATAGCAGGTTCTGGACTTCATTACCCACTACAGAAAGTTCAGTCAAAAACTATCCTCAGACAAAAATACCTTAGTGAAAGTCCTAAAAGCTTGGGATAAGGCCAAATCACACCATGACTGATCAAAGTAAACAAATACCACACTAGAAGGATATGAGAAACAGTTTCGTTTTTACTATATTGCCCCTTTGCCTCCTTCAAGTTGACAATGTGCCATGTGGAGAGGTTTCCACCTGCCAATGGTTTCTAAACTGGGAAAAGAAAACAAGATTCCCTGGCATTTTAAGACACTTCCCAGGAAAACCATTCTGGTCACACCTCATGGGTAATGTAGGCTAGTTGGAGTCCTAAATGCCTCACTTATCCATATATCAAGTTCTTTTGCCCTGCTTGGGAAGTTTTCTGCCATTACTTCTGTGAACAGTGTTTTTATGTCATCTGCACTCTCTCCTGTTTCTTCATTGA